ATACATACACAGACACACACACGCACACACACACACTCACACACACACACGCACACACCCATCTAATTGATTTCTTTCCCAAATTGACTGCTCTAGAATAAGACACACCAGTGTTTCAGGAGTTTAGGACACAGAATAGGACACATGCTTATTCGATAACTGTTTTATTTTCTATTTGGGTTTATGTATATGCTTGATTTTTTAAGATTAACTGTTTATTCCAAGACTTTGATGCCAGTGTTTCCTGCCGTTGCCATGCAAAGATTTGATTTCAGAAACAGTATCAGCTATTACACTATTTCTTGTTATGATTTTAAATCTGTATTTAACCTCAGAATGATCTTTAAAATTAAATTATTATATTATTAATTACACTACTTATTACATTTTAAATAGGGTAACTTGTGATCTGTAACGTATTATATTACATTTCCAAAGTAACCTTCCCAACACTGTCTGCAATAAACTCCAATTTATAAAGTATGGTATTTATCAGTGTACAGAACAACGGAGAAATGTAAATAAACTAGACAAAAAATGGCGTAGAAACAGTTTGACTCAAAAATGGTAAATTGCACATGTAAAACATTGAATTAAATGTGAAATTTGAAAGTATAAAAATAGTGTTTTCAGGGGAAAAAAAACTCAATCTATGTTTTATTTATATTTTTGGAAAATCATTTTTATAGTGAGGACAGATGTTGGCTGTCCTGTTGAAAAAGATACCAGCTAACTACCACGCTCAGCTACCACTTTAAACTGGATTTTCAAATAAACTCTGCAAGTTTGATTTTTACAAATATTTGGAGTAAATAATAATGCTTCAGATGTTTCATCCTGACACCAAAACGAGAGAAACTGAATGAATACACTCTTAAAAACAAAGGTGCTTCTTTGGCATTGATGGTTCCGTGAAGAACCTTTAACATCAATGGAACCTTTACATTGCCAACAACGTTCTTTATAATGGAAAAAAGGTTCTTCTGATTATTAAAATGTTCTTCACGTTGCAGTGATGCCATAGAAGAACCATTTTTGGTTCCCCAAAGAACCTCTCAGTGAACAGTTTCTTACAAAAAGAACCGTTTTTCATTAGTGTGAAGAAAATTTTTCCGCTATAAAGAGCCTTTAGTGGTTCCATGGATGTTTAAGCTTCTGCCAATAAAGAAGCTTTATTTTTAAGAGTGTAAAAATGGTTATTTTCAGAAACAGTTCACTTCCTCTATAGCATCACCGTGAAAACAGGAACCGTTCTTTGTTCGAAATCTTTCATTGTGTTTATATTTGGTGCCGTACAAACCCTGTTCTAATCGGGTTTGTTCTCTGCAGTGTTTCCTCATAGCATACGATCCGAGGGCCGCGGGTCCCTTAATCAGGTCAAGTGCGCGCTTCATTACACTCGCTGGTAGCTGCCATGTAAAGCACCAAACCTCATCTCAGAAGGCCTGACCCAGGAGAGCTCGCCGTAATGGCTTCTGCGCTGATGGCTGGTCTAATCATCGGCCCAGACCTGATTTTAGTCTACCAGTTATTTCATTCAGCGCCGGTGTTTGACAGGAGACCCCGGTGAAATCGGCTCTACCAGATGCTCAGATGTGCAGTTTTGGTGTGTATTTTACAGGTTATTTCAGCAGGTCTCAGATCAGTTATGGATATAATGAGGAAGATGCTTCAAAACCAAGACCAGACTGACCAAAAAAATTAAAATGAGTTAAATGGTTAAAGGTATGCGTGCAACAAAACAGGAAAATAAATCCAAAATATATTCAAATAAATAAATTTTTAAATGTGAAAATCCTATATATATACTACTTGCTCATACATACTGGCAACAGTGGTTTCATGAAGAAATGTAAACATCCATGTAGTCTTTCCATTGATCAAAATGTTCTTTAGATTGTAAAAATGTTCTTTGCAGTAAGAAAAAATGGTTCTTTTAAGAACTGATCACTGAAAGGTTCTTTGTGCAACGAAAAGTGTTTTTATAATGGCGTCACTGTGAAAACAACCTTTTGGAACCTAAATATATATATACAGTATATATGTGAGACCCTGGAGCACAAAAGCAGTGTTAAGTCGCTGGGGTATATTTGTAGCAATAGCCAACAATACATTGTATGGGTCAAAATTATACATTTTTCTTTTATGCAAAAAATCATTAGGATGTTAAGTAAAGATCATGTTCCATGAAGATATTTTGTAAATCACCTAACGTAAATATATCAAAACTTAATTTTTGATTAGTAATATGCATTGCTAAGAACTTCATTTGAACAACTTTAAAGATGATTTTCTCAATATTTAGATTTTTTTGCACCCTCAGATTCCAGATTTTCAAATAGTTGTATCTCAGCCAAATATTGTCCTATCCTAACAAACCATACATCAATGGAAAGCTTTTGATGGTGTATAAATTTCAATTTCAAAAAATTGACCATATATGTATATACAGTGGGTACGGAAAGTATTCAGACCCCCTTAAATTTTTCACTCTTTGTTATATTGCAGCCATTTGCTAAAATCATTTAAGTTAATTTTTTTTTGAAAAATTTAAGGGGGTCTGAATACTTTCCGTACCCACTGTATATATATATAGAGAGAGAGAGAATTCAATACAGGCAGCGGCTGAAGAAATCACTGCAAAGGTGTTGATGAATTCACATATGCCAGAAAATTGTGTTTTCTAAATAACTGATTTGCTCCTGGGGGTTCAGGTGTGATTTTGGGAATATAATTCACTGTGTTTCATCATCAAGACGAGTGTACTTCCATTGACTGGTTATTGTGTGCTCATAGAGTTAACACTCTGATGACTGTGATTGCGATTCATCCGAGCTTCAGCTCTGTCAGGACGTGTTACAGGGATTCTGAAGACTCAAAGAGAGCAGAGCTTCAGAGCCCAAAGCTCCGGTCACTGAGCTGGATTGAGAGAGACAGAAGGAGATGGCATCTTCAGATCTGCTTCACACCGACCGTCGGCATGTCTTCACTGCTCCTGCCAGCAGCTGATGGAGCAGAAATGAGGTGATGTGGTGTAATGTGGTTTTATAGCATGTCAGGAGGTCTAAATGAGACTGAGCGCATCAGAAAAATCACTACATTCCCGTCTAACAAAAATAGGTTGCTAATGTTACCCATTAAGTTCTGAGTGTTTCCAGAATTGTAACATTTTTTCTTGGTCCTGTGAATGTTACAGAAAATGGGATGTTTGTTAGAGAATGTTACATTTGAATGTTCTCTAACGCAAGAAGTACGTAATAACACTTAAAGACTAACATCTTTATAAATGTTTCAGAAAACATTAAATAATGTTCTTGCATTATTAAAGACCTGATAACCTTGAACAAGCATTCAGTTATTGTTACTGGAAGAACATTTGACCTACAAAAATATACTGGCATCTCAAGACATCTGTGCTTTAATCAAACTAAACTATACCAAGCTCGAGATTGATGCATGCAAGTACAGCATTGTATATACTATTATGTATAATAATAATAATGTATCGACACATTTCAATTCTCAATAGAACTCGGTCAGAAGAATAAAGTAAATATGTAATTTCTGCTTCGGCACAGCGCGTTCAATAGATTATACTGCTGTTTAACCACACACCGATTGTTCAGCTGATGAAACCGGTATCTTTCAGTACTGCATTAAAGAGTTTTGAAATGTGAAAATGACTTTTACACACTGAGTTTAATACTGTTTTACCTCTTGTAGATTATTGTGAACTGGCTACACTCGTGTTAAACACTCTGAAGGGTTTGTGAATGCAGGACACAGAGTATTTAAAGGACCCGAGCAGCAGTGTCCTGGAAATGTGCATGCGATGTGAATGAGTTCACTCTGCTTTTCTCTCTATCAAACGACACAAAAAAGAGTTTAGTTAATGGATAAATAGCAAAAGCGTTTTTACATCATTAATAGATTGATGTAAAACACACTCGAGGCACTTCTATAAATCTCTCTTTTTTTGCAGTGGGTTATTACCAGGCAATTTATTATAAATCTGTGTTGCAACAACAGGACGAGCATCAACTCCCATCTGAATATATACGTCTATATTAATGAATTATATACTCAGCAGCCCGCGACCTTAAAACTGAGAGGCGCTGGTGGCTGAATTCTTTATCGGACTCCTGTCACACGCAGCCGTTCATTTGTCTTTCAGCCATCAGCAGAATTAATTAACGAGAAATGCAAAGGGTCTAAGTGAATGTCAAACAGCAGTCCATGTTAATGAAAGACACGCCTAAACACTTTTTTTGCACGCGCTGAAAATATACAAATGAAGCGCGAGATAACGCTCTGCGTTAATAATCCGTGTTTTTGGCACAGAAAATGATATATTTGGGCAGTTAATGTATCGATCTCTTCTGCCCCTCGAGTGCACTTTATTTCACCGGTCATTTATCAATGAATAAAAACACCAATACGCTGTCATAAGAGCAGTGTTATTTGGAAGTGTGACAGCTATAAATGGTTTTAAGGTTCGACATGCATTAATGTTATTATCTAAATAATAATAATAATAATAATGATTTAACGAATTAAAATAGAATGTAGCGCGCTTCACTTGAATGATAATTGCACCAAAATAAAGCTTTAAAAATCGAACAAACAATCAATCTGCGCGTTGTTCTTGCTCGCATTCTTTAAGGGTGAAATGCATTTGTAGACAAGAATTCATTTTCAGACGATTATGTTTGTGTTTTGGTTCGTTATCACTCTCTGCAGAGACCTCTGGATGACGAATGGGCCTGCCACAATGTTGCCAGTCAAAACATTGACCCCTCCTCTGCTGTAAAATGCCCTACATTCAGATACAGAGCGCCTTTCCAAAACTTTCTCAAGCGTCTGGAAGGAAATGCTGGGAAACTAGTTCCGCGGTCTTATCTGTTGCGTCAAGCGCGCGACTTGAAGAAATAATACAATTATCAAATGCCTGATTGATAGAGTCGTTAAAAATCATGCAAACTCAAATATAACAGTCTGACAATAATGAATGATTCTAGCAGCTTTCCAACTACCAAAGAAAAGCGTTTCTTTTGTTTTTTTTTTGTCCAATGCGTAATTGCGCTTATCCAATCGAATGCATGATCCACAACTTTAAAAAAAAGGGCAAAAGTCATGCAAAATGAAAACTAAGCGCGAGACAGATGCTCAGCATCACTTCTGAGTCTGTCTGTCCAGAGGCACGTGCTGGAGTGGGAGGACGCTCGCGCTGACGGGGTTCGAGAGCAGCTCGCGGTCAATGCAGGGATGGTGTGAGTGTCCGAGAGTCACAGCCTGGACTCTTCTGACAGGGTAAGTGTGTTTCACTCGCGAGCGCTTTCACTCGCACAAACATGCGGCGCGAGCGCAGAAGTCCGGAACGCCTCGGCTTCTGTGTTGTAGTGTGTTTAGACGCGCGTCGCGGCCTGACTAGTTAAGCTAACCAGCGATTCTTTTCTGAAGAGCACATGAAAGTCCACCATCATCATCCATCATCTGTGCTGCTGTTACAGTCTGACATGCTGAAGCCGGGCGAGCCGAGCGGTTCTGCTTTCCTCAAAGTGGACCCGACCTACATCCAGCACTGGCAGCAGCTCTTCCCGCAGAATAGCGCACTGAAAGCCGCTTCTCTGCCGCCTCCGGTGCCGCTGGAGAACCTCCGCCTGCAGAGACCCAGCCTGATCTCGAGCTCCAGCTCCTCCACCGCGTCTCCCGCGGGTCAGATCGCGCTGTTCGGACAGACTCTGAGCTCCGACACCGGCGGCGGATCTTCTCAAGCCAAAGAACTTTGCTTGTCGTCCAACTTTAAGAATGATAAAGGATCGCGGCTGAAGCTGAGCTCCGAGGAGCTGGACTATTATCTCTACGGACAGCAGAGGATGGAGATCATCCCGCTCAACAACCACAACGGAGAGCTCAACAACCGTATGTAGCTTTATGCGCTTTCATAATCATAACACACACACACACTCTCTCTTAAAAATACAGATGAGGAAAAAAAGGCTCAGATAGGAACTTTTTATTCAACTGTTTTAAAAAATAAAATAAAACAATGAAACAGCATCTGAAGAACCTGTAATCAAACACCAATAAATATAAATTTGATATTTATATTTTATAAATAAATATATTTTATAAATAAATATATTTAAATGAATGCTGTATTTAAGTGAATAATTTAGTTTTGTGATAAAATAGCAACATCACTGCATAGCTGCTAGATAATCTTCTTAAAACAGCTTCTTGATAGTATTTTTGTAGTAGGTCAAAGATTGAGTCGTGCAGCTGATTATACTCAATTCTAGTGATCGAATTGAATTTATTCCCGTGTCGACTTTCAAGAGTTTTTTGTTTTTAAACCAGAAAACTGAGAAATTATCAACGAGCCGTATCGAATATCCTGAAATCATTTACTGAAATTAATACATTAAAATGAGTAGAAATGAAATAAATCGACATTTAATCTCGGCCTTATTTTAAAATGCATATTCAATGAATAGAACATTTTTAGCTGATTTGCATAGGCTATTTAAATTGGCTTAAAATCTGAGATGTCGTTAAAAATCAAATGCATTATAATTACATCGAGTGTCAATGTCAACAACTGAAATCATTTTTACTCCGAGTTCTTCTGAATGCAAGCTTTTGAATCTTTATTAATTGCGACGTAGATTTTGGCCCGTTATATTTCCTCTCGCCTTTTTTTTTTCTGGATAATTAAATAAGCGCTCATGCACAGAGGGAAATACTGTATGAATGTGAGATGTGATCAGCAGATCTTCATCGATAAATGCAGCAGCACACGAGGGATGAGCGGACAACACACAATTAATTGCTGTATAGTTTTGTAGTGAGTCCGGATCACTGATCGATCTGCTCCATCGGCACACATTCATCATCCCAACACGGGACATGTGTGTCTCCGGGGGACAGTGAGACTTCTTTATCTACATGCGCGATTCTGAGCTCATATTTCAGAGCAGTGCAGCTCGTTTATAAAGCGCTTTACAGACCAGCGCATGCACTTGAACACGCCGCTGATTTACTGCGAGTTTCAGATGCAAAACGCGATGAAAATATTCTGATGCACAGTACAAAATAAAAGAAACACGACTCGAGACTAAATAGCACCTACATCGAAACTAAGGGCAGTTTAGAAGATGATGCACATTGCGCTTTATTTCTTTCTGTAGGTCACTTTAATGAGCGAGCTGCACGTGTTCAAACGCGAAGCAGAAATCACATAGATCACTCATATCTATTTAAATGTTGAATACAATCTAGTTGTATATTTTTTTACTCTTTTCTTAGTCGTGCAAATTTTAAGTCAACCATTTAAGCACATTTTTTGTATAACTTCAAGTCAAATGCACAAAATATTTTTTTTGCATAATTTAGTCAAATGCACAAAAATCCTTTTTTTTTGCATCATTTAAAGTAAATAATTTAAAGTCAAATGCACATTTTTTTTTATAATTTCAAGTCAAATGCACAAAATATTTTTGCATAATTTAAAGTCAATCATTTAAAGTCAGCTGCACATTTTTTTGCATAATTTAAATTCGAATGCACAAAATATTTGTTTGGCATAATTTAAAGCCAAATGCACAAAAATCCTTTTTTGCATAATTTAAAGTAAATTGCACATTTTTTTCAAGTCAATAATTTGACTTGAAAACAAATATAAGCACACTTTTGAGTGATTAATCTTGTGAAATTATTGAACGCTGTTGTGCTCATAAACTGATGAATGCATTTGTTTTTACATTTAAAGCTTTAGGTTTAAAGTTGTTATTCAGCCTTTCCAGCACAGAAGCAGAAATGTCTTCATGCACCAGCTGACAAAAGCATAATTTAAAGTTTGTGTGTGACTCCGTGAAGGGGATCGCGTGGGCTGTTCGGGGTCCCATCTGTGTGCGGGTAAATAACCGGCCCTCTCGCTGTGCCGTCCCTCAGGCTGTGACATGTGTGCGGACAACCGTAACGGCGAGTGCCCCATGCACGGACCCCTGCACTCGCTGCGGAGGCTGGTGGGGACCAGCAGCTCCTCGGGGGCCGCTCCTCCTCCAGAGGTCCCGGACTGGCTGAGGGATCTGCCCCGTGAGGTGTGTCTGTGCACCAGCACCGTCCCGGGTCTGGGATACGGCATCTGTGCAGCCCAGCGCATCCCACAGGGCACCTGGATCGGGCCCTTCCAGGGAGTCCCGCTGCCGCTGGAGAAGGTGCAGTCGGGATCCGTGCGAAACACAAGACACTCATGGGAGGTGAGTGTGTGTGTATGAGCGTGTGTGTGTGTGTGTGAATGCGGACAACCTGATGTGTCGAACACAAAGAGGGGCGGGCGAGAAAAAGCCCAAACACACTAACTAAAGGTCAACAGCTTCACCTCTGATACCAGATGACAGACAGAGAGTGAGAGAGCGAGAGAGACAGAGAGAGTGAGAGAGAGAGAGAGAGAGACAGAGAGAGTGCAGATGGATCATCAGTTATCAGCTCTCTAAATATAGACATGGACAGATATGCATGGAAGATTATTTCTGTCATAGAATAAAAAATTAAAAGGGTAATTTTGACATTTTAGCTCACAATTCTGACTATTTTCTTGCAATTTAATGTGAGTTTATATCTCATAATTCTGACATTTTTCAGTATAAACTCAGAATTACAAAATGTGAACTCGCAATTCTGAGAAAAAAGTCAAAACTGAGATATAAGCTGATAATTGCAAGAATAAAAGTCAGAATCGTGAGCTAAGAAGTCACAGTTACCCTTTTTAAATGTTTTTATTCTATGACAGAATTAGACTTTAACAATGTTAGTGTACATGGAAGCTAATTTTTGTCATAGAATAAAAATTAAGAAGGGTAATTGTGATTTTTTTTAGCTCTTAATTCTGACTATTTTCTCACAGTTATGAGTTTATATCTCACAATTCTGACGTTTTTCTTTATAATCTTGCAATTCTGAGAAGAAAAATGTCAGAACTGAGATATAAACTAACAATTCAAGAACAAACGGCAGGACTGAGGGATACAAAAGTGACAACTACCTTTTGTATTGTTATTAAAAAAGGTGATTTTTAAAAAACAGAATTGTGAAAAAAACTCGCTATTACGAGAAAAAAAAAAGTCAGAATTGGGAGAAAAATATTGTAATGTAAACTAATAATGTAAACTCAGTAAAGTCAGAAATGTGAGATAAAAAGTCAAAATTACCTTTTTTCTATTTCTAATCTGTGACGGGGAAAAAAAAGCTAAATTGTGAAATGTAAACTCACAATTCAGAGAAAAAAGTCAAAATTGCAAAATGTAAACCCACCCAAGTTTCTAACGTGAGAATATGAGATATAAACTCGCAAGTCTGAGAAATAAAGTCATAATTGTGATTACCTTTTTAATATTTTTGTTGCGTGGCAGAAGCAAGCTTCCATAGATGTGCATAAAGCTTAACTTCTCACACTCTCAGAAAAAAAGGTACAAAAGCTGTCACTTTCAAAAGCTACTAATACGCTCCGTTTAGATTGACAGCTTTTGTACCTTTTTTTATGTGCTTTCATTTTTCCACATGAATTGGTCTGAGAGCTGATGTGAAAGGCTTGCTTTGAAAAGGACGGTGAGACAGAGAAGCGAACACTGTTCCTGGATCAGTGTGACGTCAGGTTCTACAGGAAAAATTCCTCTGGATTAAAGCGGACGGTGTGTGTGTGTGTGTCTGAGAGCAGAGAATGAAAGGCTGGAACGTGTAAAACACAAACATTTGAGCTGAGATGTGCTGCGAGTGCCGCTGAATGATTCTCTGGAGTGTGTCAGAAATCACTGCTAATGGCAAATGAATCAGCGGCTGGGTTTGGCAGAGCGTTATTGGTGCTCGGTAGCTCGACAGATTAATATTTCCCCTGTTAGATCATCTATTAGTTTAATATTAGCGAAACAGATTGCACGCCGCGCTCATTACGGCCGATCCAGCGTTTGATGAAGACTGTCTGTCTGACCTTTTATTGACGTGTTATTACGGCTCCTGCTGTCACAGCGCTGATGTGTGGAAGTCTTGTGGGTTAAACACCTGATAGCAGCCATTTGTTCAGTCAATTAGGAGCAAATAAAACTGATGGTTCATCTGCTGTTTCTTTAAATGACACATAAAACAGAGATAATGATAGTCTAGGTTTAAGTTCGTTAGAGAAGCACACACACATGGTTATGAGACATATGTGCTGCACATGTATGATATTTTTTATACACACACACACACACACACACACACACACTCACTCACTCACCCAAATCTTTTACTGTTGGCTTTCAAATGAATTGCAGCCTTTCCAACAAAACCCCTGCTGTATCTGAAACTGCAGTTACAATTTGGATGCAATTTAACACACACGGTGTATGGGTATTAATGAGTATGTTTTTAAAAATGAATACTGAAATATGAAATGTTTTTTTTAAATGAAATGACTCTCTAAATATAAAACTCTTAATGAGTCTTAATGAGTGAGTCATTGAATCATTCATTCAACCGATTCGTTCAAATGGCTCATTTATTCAGAAACAAATCAAGTGACTGTAAAGAGTCACTGAATGATTGACTCACTCAATTTGTTCAAACAGCCGATTCATTCAGAAACGAATCAAGTGACTGACTTTATAAAAGAGTCACTGAATGATTGACTCACTCGATTCGTTCAAACAGCTGATTCATTCAGAAACGAATCAAGTGTCTGACTTTATGAAAGAGTCACTGAATGATTGACTCACTCGATTCGTTCAAACAGCCGATTCAGTCACTCACTCGATTCGTTCAAACAGCCGATTCATTCAGTAATGAATCCCCACCGTGTGTTGATCAGAGACGGTCAACAGTTCTGCTGTGGCTTTGATTGGAACTTCATTTTTGAAATTGACCAAAACAGGCAATATTGAGTCTAAAACACTACTGAACTGTTGTATAAATAACTCAAATCACATTTGCAGTGGTGCAGATATTGGGGAGAAACAGCACTCTTGCTGGTGTGATATTGCTAAACTATATCATATGATATAAACATAAGGCTGATTTATTTTTTGCGCTCATATCTTGAATTTTAGGCTCATTCTAATAGACTCCTCGTGTTCATCAGCAGCTGCATCAGTGTGAGAGGAAAGATTATGAAGGTAGAATGACGTCAAAAAGATTTGCATACGCAGGGTAATATTTGTGGAAGTGTACATAAGACTGTAAGCGTAAATTAAATTTGCATGCGCAAGAGAAGCTTTGTAAAGGTGTAAATCGCGTTTCAAGCGCAAGAAAAAAATATTTGCAGCATTTTACTGTTACTCGTAAGTGTAATTCATGTATTGTGAAACTGCAGCTTCATGCTAACGCAAAATAAATATGATCTGCATGCTTCTGACTTGCATTTTTCCGCGCTTACACCTGAACACAAAAGAAGATATTTTGAAGAATGTTGGTAACAGTTGACGGTAGCCATTGACTTCCATAGTATTTTTTGTCTGTGAAGGTCTGTGGAAGTCATTGGGACTTTAAACCATTTTGAAACTAGAATGTCATAATTTATTTGCGTGTACTGTCCCTTTAAATACAGTCCACAGCAGTGTTGTTTTATTATCAATGAGATACTATTGTAGTTTTTATTAATAGTTTTACTATTAATGTTTTTTTATTATTAATAGTTTTATTATTAATTTTTATTTACCCTGCATATGCAAATCTTTTTGACGTCATTCTACCTTCATACAAGATAGGTCTGGACGAGGCGCCACATTACATGCATTTTAACATGTTATTTTTTCTGTAATTAATCGCACCAAATGAACGTGTTAAATGGACAGCCCTAATATGTATGTATGTATATGAGGGATAAATCAGATGAAGCTAAACACAGGTGAAGCGTGAGGCCTGCAGCACATTTAGCGCTGCTTGTTTATTCTGCCTGGTGTCTGGGGATTCGAGTCTGTCAGTTCCTTCGCTTCTTTCTTTGGCCCGTCAGAGCGCTGCAGAATTATTACGCCCGCTTTTCCCACCCTGAGTCTGGAATGCTTTTCTAAAGAATATTGTACACACGTCTCTCGTCGATATTGCCCATTATCAGCCATATTTACCAGCTATAAATCCAGCGAATAGTTCTGTTTGGTGGTGTTTGACCGTCGGCGTGTCCAACTCAAACATCTCTGCGCGAGTCTCGCCCAATAAATAGCGTGTCTTGTTAGAGGCGCTGTCATGATGCCGTGAGCGTGACGCGAGTAATGTGACATTTATAAACTAAACACTGTACCTGTGCTGTTTTACTGCGGTGAATTATACTGGAGCTCATGTAAAGTGTGTCAGCGTGTGTTTCTGGACGTCTCACAGGATACAGTGAGGAGATCTTGAGTTATTAATAGTTTTACTATTAATGTTTTTTTATTATTAATAGTTTTATTATTAATTTTTATTAATAGCTTTTTTTTTATTTTTATTTTTTTAAACGTGTGAGTATGAGAAAGATGCAGACAATTATTAGTATTATTATTATATTTTGTTTTATTTAAATTTTTGTTAAAGTTTTAGTTGTTTTTGTATTTTTTCTTAGCATTTAAAAAAAAAATTAGTATATGGTTATTATTTTATTTATTTATTTAAGTTTTAGTTATTTTACTACATCAAGTTAAATAAAAATGAGAATTTTTGTCTTTTTTATTATAATTTTTTTAAATTTCAGTTTGAGTTACTTTTAAGTTAAACTAAATGAAAATGAGAAATATTGCTTTGGAAAGTAGTTTAATTAAAATAAGTTAATTTAAAAAAAAAAATTGTATTTTATTATTTTATTTCAAGTAACAAAGAATGTTTCTGTAACACTTTACAATAAGTTTAACATTAGTTAACACAAACTAACAATGAAAAATACTTGTAAAACATTTATTAATCTTAGTTGTTGTTGATTCCAACATTTCCTAATACATTATTAAAATCTAAAGTTGTAGGGTTATTTAATGGACCTGAGCTGACATGAACTAATAATGAAGTTGTGTTTTTATTAGTTAGTTAATTAATGCATTAAATGTAGTTAACAAACGGAACCTTATTATAAAGTGCAACCGATATTTGTAATGGTTTTAGTTAATAATAATAACTTATTAGCTCGTGGTTCTGTTCATCACAGAGTTTCTGCTGAGCTCAGAAAGCCAGATTGTGAAAACACGTTGACTGATTCTGTACTGGTGCAGAAAATATTCTGAGCATGACTGAATGCTTTCATGAAACACAAATATTTCGAGTCGCTCCGGATGAAGGTGATCCAGTCGGCCGCTGATGGGAATAATATTTTCTGATGGTCGTCTGCTGAACGTGATGATGGGCCGCGGGCCAGGATTATTATTTTATTTCACAAAGCTCTGTAATTTGTCCCTGAAGTTATGCTTCATTTGTGTCTCTTGTTGTGAAAGAAAGCATCTCTAACTCGAGAGTTTCATCTGTGACTTTCCTCCATGAGTTCAGTTCTTCCGCTGAGCGTCTCGCTGTGTTTTCATTAGAGCTTTTTATGGTAGCTTTCTGTTATTTTAAGACTCGTTTAGTCTGCACGTCTGATTTTAAGCACTTATATTACACATATTGTACATGCAGCTCAGCCTGTTATGATATTATAATGATATGAACACTGTTATGATATTAGAAATGACCGTATTTAACAGACATGGAGATCCATTTCAGCTTTGTTCTGTAATCATTAAATGAAATAAACCCTTATGATGGTATTTAGTCAGAATAGTGAAATAAATAGACTGAAATACTAAACGCAAACTAATCTGTTTAATACTAATACAGTGTTTGTTCTGCTGTTTATACATTTGAAAAATTAATCAGCAGGTTTATTAACCATCATGTTAATAGTTTAGCATATAATTAGATCTATGCAAATTGTGAAAATATTTATACACTTCGTGTTTGATTTCATGTTTTTTGCATGATATACAATTTTGTCACGGTGTCACTCGATGTCTTTCATTTAAAATTTATTTTACATTTATTTGATCTCTTTAATCAAAAATATCTTTTATAGGAGCATCCTGGCCTAGATAGACAAATAGCAAAAGTTATTTTTTTCATTCATTAAACTTTATGTTTACATTGATTTATTAACCTTTATTTTAACAGGAAAGTCTTTCTAAAATCAAAAATCTCTTTTACAGGAGTGTCCTGGCCACGATATAGCAAAAATGATTTATTTAATTTATTTATTTGATAACATTTATATTTATTTATCAACCTTTATTTACTTTATTTAAGCATTTATGAGACCAAAAATCATTTTTTAAAGGAGTTTTCTAGCCAAAATTGGCAGCACAATAACAGAATAAATACATTTATTTATTTATTTACTTACCTTTATATTTATATTTATTTATTAGCCTTTATTTATTCAGGAAAGTCTTTAAAGATGAGCAGCAAAATAAAAGGACTAAATAAAACCACACACATGCATGAAGCAGCATTAACACACTTGCGGTGCGATGACCAGAGTTTCTGCTCGGCATGAATACAGAAGATGCCGAGAGAGTTTCTGGCACAAAGCCGATGGAGAGCGCCGTGTGTTTTAATGCGGCTGCAGCGATAACAAGCGCCACTATCACCTCCAGAGACGTGTTTGCATGCTCAGAGCGCTCTGCTCTGGACCTCTGCGTGTTCCTGTGATAAAGCGCCGAGTGTAATGGCTGTCGGCCCTGATTTACTCGCTTTAATGAGGGCAGGAGGTCACAGCCGCTCTATTTACAGCTGTCTCTCAGAGCCGTAAACGCCGTCTGGAGAGATTGAGCAGTAAGTAACGCAGTGACAGAAGCCCGTCAGCTCACATCGATTGCAGATCTCAGGCCGGACTCAAGAACACGCTGTAGAAATGCTCCGCTTCTCACTCATCAGCATCATCTCATGTATTATATTGTGATAATTTACAGGACTGGTTCCTCCAGCGGTTCACGTGTCATTACTGCATGATCAGCAGCGTTATTTTACTATCAATAACATACTATTGTAGCTTCTATGAATAGTTTGAATTAGGTTTTACATTTAGTCATTTAGCAGACACTTTTATCCAAATGAGGACAATAGATGCTATCAAAACTAATAAAAGAGCAACTATATAAGTGCAAATGACAAGTCTCGGTTAGCCTAACGTAGTACATGTATCAAGGTTTATATATATATTTATAACCAACGCGACTTACAATAGAGAAACATAAGCAGTTTGTCACAGAGCCAACAATATTTGTAGTATGTAATTTCAGGTTTATTAGAAAGCTAGATTAGGAAACGGGAGAAATGCAGAAGAAAAGAAACGTTTTTTTTGTGTGTGCGCGTGTGTGTGTGTGTGTGTGTCTGTGTGTGTGTGTCTCTGTGTGTGTGTGTGTCTCTGTGTGTGTGTGTGTGTGTGTGTGTGTCTGTGTGTGTGTCTCTGTGTGTGTGTGTGTGTGTGTGTGTGTCTGTGTGTGTGTCTCTGTGTGTGTGTGTGTGTGTGTGTGTGTCTGTGTGTGTGTCTCTGTGTGTGTGTGTGTGTGTGTGTGTGTCTGTGTGTGTGTCTCTGTGTGTGTGTGTGTGTGTGTGTGTGTCTGTGTGTGTGTCTCTGTGTGTGTGTGTGTGTGTGTGTGTGTCTGTGTGTGTGTCTCTGTGTGTGTGTGTGTGTGTGTGTGTGTCTGTGTGTGTGTCTCTGTGTGTGTGTGTGTGTGTGTGTGTGTCTGTGTGTGTGTCTCTGTGTGTGTGTGTGTGTGTGTGTGTGTCTGTGTGTGTGTCTCTGTGTGTGTGTGTGTGTGTGTGTGTGTGTGTGTGCGCGTGCGTGTGTGAGAGGATTTCTAAACGAGCTGCTCTAAACGAATCTCCCACGGGGAACTCTATGAAAAAACATTCTTCCAGTAGTGGAATAGAACATTTGAAGTTCTCTGGTCTTTAATAACATTCTCAAAACCTTAGCACAAAAACATTATTTATACATCATTTATCTGAAACATTTTAGTTGGATGTTTATCTAACAATTTTTAACTGTTCAGAGAACATTCAAATGTAACGTTCTCATAATGTTTGCAAAATGATCAAATGGATGCTCCCTTTTTAGTTTTTTTAAAAATGTAAAAAGTGGGCATTTTCAATGTTCAGAGGACATTCAGAAATAACATTTTTATACTTAACGGTAACGTTAGCGAAACATTCTGAGAACATATTTTTGTTAGCTGATGTCTAACGCACAGGGGCGGATTTAGTGAATTGGGGGCCCCAGGCAAAATATAGGAATGGGGTCCTATACATTTGCACACATTTTCCTTTCACTTTTTTGTTGTGATGCTTGCTGCTGCACAATGGTGCCCCGTGGTTGTGTCCAATTTTTCTACATTTTTCATGTACGTTATAATGGCTTTCTTTCATGTTGTAGACCACGAAATAGCAACTGATTTACAGCTGAGATACAGGATTTCACAAAAATAAAATAAATTGTAAAATGCTAAACCTGACAATTGAGCGTTTAAACCAGGGGTGAGCCAGAAGTATAAATCATTAAAACGGGGTTATGTGGGTGGATTTTCACATTGATCTGAACAAAAACTACAGACTGGATTATTGAAAATGAACATTCATTCTCTGCCAGTAGGAGGCGCTTTTGGAACGTCAGAAATGAGAAAATAGAATGAGAAAAGTGTGAAAAAATATAGCCTATATTGACGAGGAAAGCCCACTGATGAGTTACCAGCGTAAGCCTGTGTGCAAAGGCTGTCTAATTCTAAACTTTAAAATACATTTATTTTTAGTTGTTTTAACTACAAATTTAAATAAAACTGAAAAAATAATGAAAAGGCAATTATAAATGTACACACCTAAAATACATATATCAAGAGCATGCTCACAGATGAGAACAAAACAGCGTTGGATGAAGTGGTGGAAGAGTTTTTAGTTTTTTTAAAGTAACGGCCAGCGGCAGACAGTGAGCTGATCATAGCCTATAGCTTATGTTTGATCAATTTAGCCTTCTCAGATCATCAGGACTTGCCTAAAATAAAATCTATATATAAAACAGTTCAAGTATATCACAATGCTAGTTTAAATGTTTAACCTAGATAAACGTGTGCTGTTAGACGCATATCCAATCGTTTGTGTGGAGAGTTGAAGCTGAAGCGCGCTCTGCGGCACATGAGGCGCCAACGCGATCACTTGCATTTTTTTCTAACAGTGGAAACAACTTAAAATACGCAGTCATTCTTGCTCATAAAGGTAAGAGTAATACATCATTCTATTCTGTAAAGGGTCTACTTTTATTTGTGTGCACTCACAATATCAACAAAACATTGTGCTTTTATAAAATAAAGAAAACAAATGCTTTCTGCCGTCTCGGTCTTGAACAGGAGCGCTTCACAATGATGAACCTAAGCTCAGACATGATCAAAATATATAGAAAGTTTTAAATTACTACTTTAAAACAAAATAATTCAAATCGAAAATAGACTCTTAATAAAATAAACTCTTTCATTATGTAATCCTTGCATTTCTCTCTAAAGGCGGATATGGCGAGTCATTTTCATCACCATAATTGATGGAAGGCCCGATTATAATTTGCGATTTGTAAAATAGCCAACAAATTAATTGTTGTAGGCTAACCCGATTTCATGAAAGTGCGTATAGCACGATTTTCTGCTTCTATTTGGTGTAATATTTCTATGCAGAAATTGACTTGCATGCAAAATACTGATCAATTCATAATTAATGGCATGGCTGGTTCGTCCGCCCCTGCTAACGCATATATATTAAAATCAAATATAACCAGTAACCCTGAAGATGAAACAGAAACAAATAAATTATTAATTAAATGGCTTCAGTCATTAAAAACATCAGGCCCTCATAGACTCACTGAACTATCGACCACTGCAGGTTATTTGTCATTGTAAACAGATTTATCTGAATCTCTTTTGTTGGGCTATCTTTATATAACATGAGGAGGACTGAGAGTTCTGTCTGAGTTTGTGAATGTCTCTCTTCTAGATTTACGATCAGGAGGGAACCTTACAGCACTTTATTGACGGGAACGAGCCCAGTAAGTCGAGCTGGATGAGGTACATCCGCTGCGCCAGACACTGTGGAGAGCAGAACATGATGGTGGTGCAGTACAGGTAACAGCTTAACTAAACCAACCTACACCAGCACTCAGCACCTGACTAACCGCCCTGAAGAGATAAACATATAAACCAGGGGACACATCCTCATTTCTCCTCATAACTATAACCTATAGAGATACAGTAGTATAGCAAAACTCTACAAATACAGCTATTGTTCAAGGATTATAATATTTATAATTAGCAGTATATAAAGGAAATTGTTTATATAAAAATCAGCAAGTGCTGTCCACACACTAAAAAGATAACAGACCACAAAGGTCAACATTTTGTATTTAATTTGTCTTTTATGATTTTTTTGATTATTAAAATAAAAAAAAATAAATAAAAATAAATAAAAGGTACATTATGATAGACCTTTGTGGTCTGTTTATTTTAAATATATTTTTTAAATAGAAAAAACAATAAAATATATATTTAATATATAAATATATAAAGACCTTTGCAGTCTGTTTATATATATATATATAATTATTATTATTATTTAATCTTCTTTAAATCTAAAAAAATATATAATATATGATTTGTAATATAATAAGATCTATTTTGATAAGCCTTTGTGGTCTGTTTTTATTTATTTATTTTTTTAAATCTTTTAAAATCTAAAATATAATATTAATACAATTTTAAAATATATATTTTATTGATCTTTGTGGTCTTTTTTGTATTTTTTATTATTCTTTTTTATCTTTTTAAATCTACATTTTTTTTGATAACCTTTGCAGTCTGTTTTATTTATTTATTTATTTATTTTTTGTTAAATTTTTTCCAACTTCTTTTAAATCTAAAAAAATAATAAAATATATATTTTGATAAACCTTATTTATTATTATTATTAATTTTTTAATCTTTCTTAAATCTAAAAAAAAAAAGAAAATTTTTTATAGATCTTTGTGATCTTTTTGTATATTTTCTCTTCCAATTAATCTTTTAAATCTAAAAAAAATAATAAAATAGATATTTTGATAGACCTTTGTGGTGTGATTATCCATTTAGTGTGCAGACAAAACGTGCTGGTTTTTGTATGTAAAACCTCCCAAAACCTCCTCATAAAGTATAAACGATATAAAAAAATAAGTAAAAAATAATTCTAAAAATACTAAAAGTGTTCTGTTAGTGTTAGGTTATAGTTTATATAACTAGCTGTATATAAAAACAGTAGAAGTCTATGCAGTGTCCTTTTTTTAGTTAAATAAACATGTGCTAGTCTGTGTCTGATGTTCCACAGAGCTCAGGCTGAAGGGCTTTTAATATCGAGCTGATCTTCTTCATGTAAGTCCGTGTTCTAGGGCGAGTCTCACACGTGTGCGGCTCCAGATCATCTGTTATGATCTGCAATATCTTGATGGAATCCTCTTCAAAGCCGCCGGTGATGGATGGAGTCCGAGTCGCTTGTAGGCTTGTAAGAGCCGGTGTTGGTTTACTCGGTCTGAGCGTGCAGGACCACCCATCGCTCCCCAAACAGCCGACTCATTGAGTCCCACTGCATTTATTGCTGCGCTGCAGTGTTTATATTGAGCGAAGCCGAGCTGAGAGACGTGTTTTCTCTCTCTCTCTCTCTCTCTCTCGGTTATGAGATGCTGCTGATTTATGGACTCGGCTCTTGTTTTATTTTGATGTCGTGTTGGAAAGAATTAATAAAATGCACCGATCTCAGCACTTTCAGCAAGACCAAAGAGTCAAACGTTTGTGGTTTTTTTAGTGTGTGGACAACACTTGCTGATTGTTTAATTAGCTGTATATAATTCCTACATGAATGAAATCACGAAACATGTTCTTTTATGAAGGGTTAGTGAAATTATCGTTTGCAAACAGTGATGACGGTTTTTGTGGGCGGAGCCTGTCTGGTGGCAGAAAATGACAGTTTTAACGTAGCAGTCATGGAATAAAAGAATAAAAAATTTAATTTTGAGTTTATATTTCTAAATTCTGATTTTTCTCTTGCAATTCCGAGATTATATCTCATAATTCTGGTCAACTCGTCATTCTTTCTTTTTAGTTTATAATCCCACACTTCTGGCTTTTTTCCTCAGAATTGACAAACTCGCAGTTGTTGAGTTGAATCAAGTTATAAAGTCCGAACTAGGAGATATAAACTTTGTGAAATTGTGAAATAAAATAGTTAAATGTTATGTAAAATGTTATAGGTTTAAATAGTATTTCATGCATGTATTTCAGCTGTAGGGCTAATACAATATGTCCCCTATATGAATATTATATAGACCTATTGTTTAAATCAAATGTATGCTTTAAAGGTAGGGTAATCATAGCAGGTTTCATCCATAGTCTGTCCATTTAAACGTCTGCGTTTAGCTTCAAATGGCGTCTTTGACGACAGTATTACTGTATATAAAAATTATTTGCATTCAGATTCTTACATCCAAAGGCACAACAATACATTTTTCTCTTATTCCATGGATTTTACCCGTTTCCCTCCACTTGTTCCCAGTGTTTTTATGCCATCACAATGCGCGCGCAGCTGCAAGTGACGTAACTGTGACGTCTACTCCAAATTGGTCTATACAACAGTTCTTTCTGGTCCTCGAATCTGATTGGCCAAAAGGTCTTTCCACCCAAGAGAGATTCACCCAATAGCACACGGGAACCGTTTCACCGTTTGTATCACTCCGCTTGCATTTCTGAGTGTCATGGCGGACGCCCAAATCCACTATAATTGTAAAAATAATACAGTTTGTGTGTCACGAAATGCACTTTTAAGAGTTATTTAGGCGAGAATGTACTTGTTTAGACTTCAAATATGCAGTTTGTTAATAAAGATGACGACTATTTGAAAATTTGCTTCGATGTTTTGGGAGATGTGAGCTCCAGGGCGTCAGCGGACGTTCAGCGCTCATGAACCCGCCGAGAGCAGCCTCACCTCGGCCAGATCTTCTGGAAATCACCACTGGCTCGGATGAATCTATAGTGGTTAAACATGAGATATAATTTGTTTTGGGTAAATCTAACGGGCAGTCTTTGGTCTCATTAATCTATTATTTGTTCCAGAGCAAATAGTTTTGGCTGAGAGCAAAATCTCATCATGTATTTTATATGACTGTAATGCTGTATACAATGGCTGTTGTTGTTTGTTAAAAATTATTGTTCAATAAATATATAAATAATAGTAGTATTTAATAGTAGTATTTTGTATTGTGAAACGTGTGATGGTGATTTTAGTGACATTATTCCATCATTAGATGGCGACAAGAGACTGTTTTTCTGAGTGAGTCCGCAGTAAAAACTTTTATATTGAAAGAGACTGAAACAGGGTTATAAAGAATGAAGTTCTTTTTACTTTCAGCAACAGCTTGTAAGACGCAGTTAACAAACACACTGAGCAGTGCTGTCATCGGAAATCACCCTTAACAGATGAAAGATAGTACGACAAAGATATCGCTTTCCTCTGCGGACATTCAAACTAATGTTTTATTGTGAATATGAGCTTGAGCTGAAGAATGAATGCTGTATCAGATGCAGATAATCAAACTCGCTCACTCAATCTCTCTCTCATAATACTCTACATAATACATTTAGCTTTTAATGCAGTGATACAATAAGCTTTTAATGAAGCAACTCATCATTCCATCGTTACTAGTTCTAAAGTGACGTTTTTGAATTAGTAACGGATCTTGAGGTCAGCTTTTAAACTGTCAAACTGAGATCTGAATCTGTGGCGGAAGAAAGTAGTTCCGCACAAAAGAGGGTTTTTAAAGACACTGCGTTGTTGTTTCTTATGTTTCTAAACACTCGTGCCGTCGAACTGTTGTGTAAACGCAATATCACACTTGTAGCCGTGAGATATGGCTGTATATCAGCACAGATATGATTACCTACAGCCGAATCACAGCCGTGCCGATATACAGCCATATCGCACTGCTACGAGTGTGATATTGCTCATATATGTGTGTGCGTGTGTATATATAGATAGTGCCCCCCCCCCCCAATGTTCAAGACATGGCTACAGCCTTGTATATATATATAATCTATTATCGTAATGTTTTCTGAAGTCTTCAGGTGAAAATACATTGCATAGGACTGACAATGGGGAATCTACATGTGATTTGATATATTTTTTATAATTATTTAATATATTTTATAATTCATTTTATTATTTACTTTTTAAATGTACCTTTTTGTTTCATAAATAGTTATATTTAATGTCATTTAAACTGTTTTTTTTGTTTCATCAAGATGTCACTTGAAAATATTTATAATGGATTTACCTATTTTTTAGTCATTTTGTTTTACAGTTTATTCAATGTGATTTAAACTTTTTTTCCCCCAAGTGCATAAAGAACATGTCAAACATGTTGAAAATGAATAATTTTATATATTTGATAAAGGATTTACATATTTTATAGTCATTTTATTGAATTCAATTTTAAATGTACACTTTGTTTTATAAATAGTTTGATTAATAATGGGCGAGACTAAATTCAAGCATGACAATGAATGATTTGATATATATTATAATGGGTTTTACATATTTTACAGTCATTGTATAGTCAGATGTCCATTTTGTTTTCTAAGCATTGTGTTTGAATGTTTCAGGTCGTGTATCTTCTACCGGGCGTGTGCAGATATTCCTCGAGGAACGGAGCTCCTGGTTTGGTACAACGACAGTTACACGTCTTTCTTCGGGATCCCGCTGCAGTGCGTCGCACAAGACGAAAACTGTAAGAAAAACTCCTCTGCAAACGATTCAAATGCTTGTTATTTCCACTAGGGATGCACGATATATCGGCCACCATATCGGCCGATACCGTAATACTGTGTTTATTTTATGCATAGAAATCAGATTTATCTCATATAGAATGCGTTTGGTAAAGCTTATAGAGCGTTAATAGAGCGCTTCAGTTTGCCGGTGACCATTCAGCTCTTCAGCTACAGCGTAGCAGCTCAATCAGCAATGCTGCTATTTGAAACAGTGGTATTAATTTAAGATACATCTTTTTCAAAATCATTGATTTATATTATTAATAATAACCACCGTTTTCATCAACAATATGGTTTAATTAAAATAATTTCATTATTGTCGGTGCGGACGTTATTCCGTTTAATTTATTCATGGCACATGATTTTTGATTAATTTTTTTACACGTAAATAATGTTGTCCAGTGACTTGTTTGCATTATTTAAGCATTATTTTATTTATTTGTAAGGCTGCTTTATGTTTGATTTATGTTGAAGTGTTTAATGCCTTTTAATGGTGAGACTTTTTTGGTAATTAGGCTCTCAAAGATTATATAAAAATTTGGATTTAGATTTATCGGCCAACATATCGGTTATCGGCTTTCATGTATTGAGAATTATCGGTTATCGGTATCGGCCAAAATGTTCATATGGGTGCATCCCTGATTTCCACTACAGACACACTGATGCTTTATATAGCGCATCTGATTAGAGATAACAATTTTAAAAAAATGTTTTTATTTAATAAATAATATGTATTTTTGACAGAACACGGATGAGTAAAGTCAACTTTTAGCTTAAGGTGCACACCTAAATGGTCAAATCCGCGCAAAAATGTGCCAAAATGCGGCGCTTGGTGATTATTCACAGAATCCCTCATTGGTTAAGTGAACATACAGGGGAGAATGAAAACACGTCTGTAACAGTATATTGGATCTGTGCGGCTCTTACAGTGACAGCAGCCTAATATTCCTGCTGCCGACTGTGAGCTTAATATTAATCAAACAACAAAAGACAGAGAAAATCACTCACTGTTCTTGACTGAAGGACTTTTGTAGCTTTGATAAGAAACAAAGGAAGTTTAATTCTTGTAGTGAAGACTATGCTGTTTTATTTTACATTCGATTTAGTTTCTGTAGTAGCTGTTAGCTGAATACTTTAGACTTGCGTAAAAAACTTAAAGCACTGTTTGTTTCATTTGTATCTTTTTCTATTGTATTTATTATTTGCCTTTTTTGTTTTTATTGTATTACTGACTGTTGAGTTATTTTTCAACAATTTTTGAGGACTTTTTTTTTTTTAATTATATGAGTTACCCTAGTATTCTGCTGTGGTATTGAGAATTGTGAAATTTTACTGTGATGGTTCTTCACTGAAACTTCACTCAAACGCTCCCGTGTGTATCTGTGTCAGCGCTCGGTGAAGAGAGTCCAGTGTTTACAGCAGACAGGCTTTATGAGTTATGTTGTGTTTAGACAGCGCTCTTTCCTTCCAAATGCTGCTCTAAAGTGTGTTGTGTGATCTGAGAGCTGTGCTGATGAGAAATGCTGCGAGAGAGAAGCTCTTCGCTGATCAGAAAGCCGTTTTGACACTGTTTGCCATGTTTGAGTCTGAACAAATGAAGACATTTGTGTGTTTCTCCACGCTGGGTCTGATCTCAGGTCTGCGGCTGACGCTCAGCGTTGATCAGACGAGTTCTGGAGCTTCATGCTGCATTGAATGTGCCGGCGTTATTGAATCAGAGCGCTCTCACATGTCTCGTCTTACAGTCGGCTAATTCAGTGTTTATGCACACAGCGTGCTGCTTGATGAAGAATGTGGAATGCGGTTTGACGATGGAAGTGTTTCTGAACATAAAGCGTCTGAAGACGTCGGTTCCTCGTCCAAGATTTGACTCTATGGCTGATTCTCGAATGCTGTTTAGTTACATTTAATACATTTATTTTTTAAAGATATACGGTTATCATATACAGCTTTATGTCTATGTGACCAATTCAACATGAGCGTTTAAAAGCTTGATTTAAAAAAAACAAATTAATACTTTTATTCATCAAGGATGCATTAAATTGATCAAAAGTGATAGTAAAGACATTTATAATGTGACAAAAGATTTCTATTTCAAATAAATGCTGTTCTTTTTTACTTTCTGTTAATCTGTGAATCCTGAAAAATAAAATGTATCACAGTTTCCATAACAATATTAATGTTTTCAACATTGATAATAATCAGAAATGTTTCTCGAGCAGAATATTATACTGATTTCTGAAGATCATGTGACACTGAAGACTGGAGTAATGATGCTGAAAATACAGCTGCG